GTGTTCTCAACAACTGGGTAACTAAGGAATTGCACTGCTTGTTTGTTTACAGGGAATGTCTTTGAAAGTTGAGAAGTAAGGGGGCAGAAGTTGGGCCCTATCCCCCTCCATTCTAGAGTTAGGGGACAGGACTAACAAACCTGCCAGACTTCAAAAGTTATACAGCACCATGATAAAGTATTGTGGTGAAAAGGGTAAATGAGTCAACGATAAGGACAAAATATGTTACATATCAATGGTAAAGTGCTGTAGGTTAGCATGGTATTGAAAGGGGTACAGAGGGAAGAGCAAATGAAGTAAAAAGGCCATTCCAGACTGACACAAGCCAATCTTTCATGCTTTCAAGATGACTCTCCTACCTTATGAAGTGGTCAGAAGAGAAGGAAAAGGAAAGAGGGAGAAGACTATGCAAAATTAGTTGAGGCGCGACCTGACGTCCAAGGTTGGGCCGCAGTCTCCTTCTCCTAAGTCCCCCACAACAAGAAGCGAGGGATTGGGGGAAGCCAATTTCTGAGCCTCTATGATTTCACTTATTCACCCCATTACATTAATTTTTGGGAAGTTGCATATTTTTTTATTGATTTTATTGTTATTGATATAACAACTATAACAATGATAGTAATAGTTACAGACCTTTAAAATACTTTTTCACAAATATTCATGGAATTACTTAAATAGGTTACATCAGGTAGGGCTAGTAATGGCTAATTGACTAAGCACTTATGAAAAATTAAAATAAAACAAAATCAGTGGACATTGCATGGTCTCAAAGGGTAAAGTCAGTGTGTCCAATTTCTGGTTCCATCAACATATTCAATCAGCAATGAGGTAACATAGAGGCTACAGGTTCATCATGGTTCATCTTGCACTTGAAAAGTAAAACAAAAAAAATGGCCCTAGCATGAACCACTAATAGGACTCTAGCTTAAATTTACACCAATTAAGTAACACTAAATATATCCCAATAACTCGTCATTTTTGTAGGGTTCATTTCCAAACAAATAAAACAAATTTATGCTCTATAAAGTTTATTTTTTAAGGCAATCAAACACTTCTTTGGTCTACATAATAAATGATATATTAAAATTTAATACAACTATTCCATTATAAATTTAGTACACACTTTCAGATTCTATTTATGACCATTAATAATTTTCTGGATTACTCCAATCAGATCCACTAAATAAATATAATCATTTACACAAAATTCAAACCATAAACAACAGAAATTCCAAATGCATCTTGGAAAAAGTAAACAACTTAATGCTTTACTTTTACATACATTTTCAAAGTATCCTGCAATGTATAAGCATTAATTTGAAGAGGGAAATGCTGTACAATCTATTACTATATAATAAATATGTAATACAAGCTTAGATACACTGAAAGATAGCCAACAAAAGATATGTTTACACTTCTCTCCAATGCTCTTTAATTGGGATTTATACATAGTCCACTTTTTCTACAAGTTTCACAGCATTGTGTGAGCGAAGAGCCTACAAGAATTAATATCAACAGGTAACCAAAACAGGTAGATATGTCAATCAACCATTTTTTTTTCCCCATCTACACCTTAATTCATACCCAAATACATGCTATGAAACAAGTAAAGCAGCCATTAAAAATATTTTGCTAAATATCACAGGAAGAAAAAAAGAAAAGAAAAAAATTATTTCTTGCTTATCCGGAAGTCCTTCAGTATAAATAGCTTATCTCCTGGTATATCACAATAATGATGATGACAAAAATAATGATAATAATAATGATAGTAATAGTAAAAATAATAATAACAACAATAATAAACAATGAGACATACTTTAAAGTTAATACAGTAAAAAAAAAAAAAATTGCAAAAAAACTGATAAACACATGGAATGCATAATTTGCTTTTGACTGCATTCAAAGTTACGACAAGACACACAACCAATCTGTTTTTTAATGAGCTGCAATACTTATTTCATGAACTCGTGTAGTTTATCTGAAACCTATATTCTTCAAACTTCAAAAATTCAGATTGTGTAACAGATCAATGATAAATATTCACCAAAATTTTACATGTTTTATTTATAAGGCTTGCTATAACTGCTACAACTGCTTCAACTTGTATTTACAAAACGATGAATCCTAGATATATTTCTATCATAACCCCCCAAAAACAAGAATAAATATTTGTACAGATAAATGCAATATTAACCCTAGTAATATGCTATTCCAGTTCTTTTCAAATTGTACTGATATTCATTTCAAGTTTACAAATTCCAGTAGACTATTGCTGCTCCATATATTTCTTATTTATTTTTTTTAATGCAAAATAAAAATACTTTACTCATAAGACGTAAACAAATCACTTTTAAAAAATAGTCTTACTTACCAAACAAAAATATCTTGATAATTATCTTAGAAAAGTGGAAAGAAAACGTACGGGAAAAAAAGTCTTGCTCACACCAAGGTAAAGCAAGACAAATATCTGAATCATAATAGATGTATGTGTATGAATGTGAAAGTCTTGTGATTGTGAATATGTCAGTGTAAGATAAAATAGAGGAATACATGTATTCACACAAAGATACAACTACAACAAATACACGCTCATACCCATCATACAACAAATCTCAACCTCTTTACCTTCAAAATACTTGAAAGCTTTCATAGCCTTCGTGAACATTTAAAGGAATGTTTGTGTGGTTGCATACATACAATACAATTTTTACTTAGCTTAGACAAAGAAGGAGGACCTCATTGCGACAAACTTTACATAAAGACAATGAAAAATATTTAATCAAATATCAACAAATATAATAAGACAGATTTACAAGCTTATACTAATAATCATTCATAAAACTAACTTGGCATCCTCTGTAACAAATCAATAATTTAAGAAAAATTTCGTGGAGGGTATTTTCCTTGCATGTGGACAATATTTGGAAGAAATTTATAGAATGGCAATAAATTTATACATAACAAGAATTAAATAAGATCTACATAATACTTGTGTGATAAACAGTATTTATACTGATGTTTTATCTAATAATTATGTACCTGTATATTACATAAATGTTCAAACATTGCTGGTTTTCATAATTCTTTGTTCCCCCCACTCTTTTACAGGTAGGGTAACGAGACTCAAAAAAAAAAGCCATAAACAGGATAAAATTTACAAACAAAGCAACATCAGATTCAGATCATTTACCTATAACCCTTCCCCTACAATATTCACCTTAAATTCAATGCATTTTCGAAGTCGTTATTTATGTGTTCATTACCCAGTGCCAATAAATCACTTCTTACTTTGCATCTATTTCCTATGCTTCCTCTTTTCTCTCATTCCGACCTTTTATTTTCAGTAGGTGGTTTCACGTCTAAGCTCAAAGGAAACCATTTTACTAGCGGAAGACAATTCAAATTTTACTTCAGAATAGTTGAAGAGAACTTGTACAAAATGAATGCCATAGTTGCTTTTATAACTTAACATAATTGTGCTCTCTTAATCATCAAAATTATAAATGCAAGCCTGTTCACTGTCACATACTTATGAAAAAGAAAAAAAATGCAAAATTAATAATACAGAGGGACTAAGAGGGTCTAAAGATAAAAGAAGCAAAAATGACTTAAATCCACCAAAAAGGATAACAATATTACAGTATTTGCTTTGGGGAAAATGCATAAAGGAATATCGTGTAAATGCTTCTTTAAATCCGAGAGATAAAATAAAGGATCAACAATATAAACTAACAAAACTTAATTCTCAAAATAAACCTTTAACAATAAAAATACTAAAAAGTAAAAATAACATCTCACGTCATCTCATCTACGAAAAAAAAAAAAATCAACAAAAAAATAAGGAATAAAAACAGAATACCTTACACAGGGAACCCAGCAGCAAAGGAGCAGCAACGGGTGTATGTGTGTGGAGGGAGCTAACTGTCAAGCTACCAGCATCTGGCCACAATTAGCACAGAACTCCTAGTAACTGCCATTAAACACAACAGGTAGGATTTCTGGGTTAGCTACTATTGTAGAAACGTCTTCCTCTTTGCTCTTATCCTCTGCTCTAAAAAAAGGAGGAAAAGAATATCACCAAATGTCAAAAAATAAGTACAAGAACATTAACAATTCTGAAAACTAAATAAAACTGATTTCCTCATACGACTGACAAGATGTATCAACATTCACTTGATTCAGGCTAATAATGCTTGGTATTTTAAATATCACAGAAACCATAAAAAGTAGTCATGACATGTGAAACAAAACAAAAGAGAAACCCCATTGATGCTTAATGTAAAAGCAAGTACAACAATGAAATGCCAAAAGTGAACAATGCACATTTCAGAGGCAAAATATCTGTTTTCACTCATGTTTTCTACAAGAAGCAGTTGTTTCTCAAAATCAAGTTATATGCAACTTCAAACCCCCCTAAAAGCTCATTACTGATTGCTATTTGGCAATATAATCTATAAATTCCAAAAATTGTCAAATGATATTCTAAAGTTTATATATGTACATACATGGATAGATGGAGAGGAGGGGGAAGTGGGGAGGAGAGGAGAGAGAGAGAGAGAGAGAGAGAGAGAGAGAGAGAGAGAGAGAGAGAGAGAGAGAGAGAAGAGAGAGAGAGAGAGAGAGAGAGAGAGAGAGAGAGAGAGAGAGAGAGAGAGAGAGAGAGAGAGAGGGGGGGGGGCATATATAGAGAGATTACAAAGCAAAGAGCTATATAAATATATATAAATATACAAACTCATAAGCACAATGATAAATAAAAAGTTAGTGGGACACAGACATAGAGATGTATAACAAAAATCACATATCAAAGCCAAAAACTTCAATAGCGAACACCAAGTCAAAATAATATCAAAATTCTCGCTGGGATTCGTATCATCGTTGAAAATATTAATCAACAGAAGCATAAGCCTACCAAGAGCATTCTAGAAACAGCTGCATGCTCAGCTCCTATTCGTCACATTTCACCACAATAATGTAAAATACCAAAACAATAACATGAGGGAATCACTACACCTATTATAATCATCTTAACGGCACATACAGTAACAGCTGTGGTTATAGCTTTCAGAAATCATTTAGTCTACTTGAACACATTCTAAGATTTGTGCAAAAATTACATGTTTGTGCTAAGATTGTGCCTGAAATCGCAAACTATAAAGCAAGCACAAAATTACTCAAGTATATGAAAAACAAAATCTAATATCCAACGGCAAATAAATTTGTTAAATAGTCCCATACTCATTTCACAATCCATTCAGCTGTGTCTCCATAATCTTTTAGATGAGCAATAAGATTTAATTACATTATAGTTTACACCTGCTTATGTAAAATACTTAATTCTCTACAAGCCTTCGAACACCAAGGAAACATCCACTTTCCAGTCGGTGCCCCGTGCTAAGCTTGCATCGCCATTCTTATGCACAAAATTCACCATTTCACCAAGAAGAAATCATTTTTTAATGAGCATATCTACATATATTTGTATACATTGTTTATATACATATATGTATGTATGTATGAGTGTGCATGTGCGCATGTGCACGTATGTGCGTCTCCGTGTGCATGCATGTGTGGACATATGTGCATGTATGTTTGTATGGGTATGTGTGAATGCATATATGTATGTATGTTTGTATGTGTGAATACATGTATGTATATATGTTTGTATGTGTGAATACATGTATGTATGTGTATATATATATATATATATATATATATATATATATATATATATATATATATATATATATATATATATATATATATATATATATATAACTAAAAGTTTCATACTTTGAAGCCACCATCCTCAAAATTACTTAATAAATATCCATGGCACAACATATGCTGTTGCATATATGTACATTATATGCATACATACAACTTCAATGGTCAATAATCCCTTCCTAATGAGAAACAACCTAATATCTTTTCTCTAGCAACTCTAGTTTACACTAAGTACAATTTTTCTTATATCTTACAAAGGAAAATCTGTGTTGAGCTTTCGTTCGATGTCTTCTAGTGGGGTACAGCTGTTCTGGGGGTCATCCATACTCTCATCCATAGATGGCGAACTGCATGATTGTAACAGGCCGTCAGATATCCACCAATACTCAACACAGTTCATATCCTCAAATAATTCAGGACTAATTTCTATCTGGGCTCTACATGACTACTGGTGTGAGTCGGGTTGCTTGGCTCAATTCTTTCACAGCGACATTATGATGTATGCTCATTTTTCAACAGGTCTGGGTACATCTTTGCCAAATTAACAATTAGATATGATAATTTTAAAATAGTCTTTTAGATATTTTCTTTAAAATTCTGATGTTTCAATACCTCTAACATAGCATACCATTCATAGCAAAACACAAGATCCACTCAAAGGTAGAGTTACTTACTATATATTTAAACTTATGAGTTTTTTATACTTTTTTTTACACAAAAAGAATATATGCAAACTATTGAATAGAAAAAGAAATTCAATGGGACATTGTGAAACACATACATTTGTAACTCAGATGTTCTTTAAAAGTTCTGTAAATTTATGCATCGATTTATCCCAAACCCATTTTCGTTTGAAAAGACAAAACTGTACACACAATTCTCATTCCCTATCCTTTACATAGGCCTTCTCTGATGGAGATAGTAAGGAACAAGCTCAAGCAGATGGAATGACAAACAAAACAATAGTTCACACAAACAGTCATAAGCCCAGCTAGGAGAGAAGCTATAGCATAGAAGAGAATATATCACACAGAATATACATCTCAAAAAATTTCTTCATTTCAACTTTGAAGCTGTCAGACTTTCTTTCAAATAGAGGAAAATGTTATGCTTGGAAGCTAAGTAGAAAGTGATCCAAAAACGGACCTTCAATCGCAACCAAAAAAGACTTACCTTAGGGAGGACTCTGTGACGGACTCTTGTGTTTCTTTAGGGGACGGGCTGTTCCCAGTGTCCAGGGGCTCTAAGTCGCATGATTTTTCTGATAATTGCAAGTTGTCTAACTTTTGTGCAGAAGGTCTCTTTTGTGCTTCTGGAGCTGATGATGTATTTTCAGGTGATGCTGACTCTGCTAATGAAGATGATTGCCTTTTCTCTTTATTTGCTTCTGTTCCATCATCATCACTTACTGAAATGTGCAAAAGGAATATTTCAAAATTTTCTTTACCATGCAATAGCGTGTAAAATTTCTAAATCAGACAATTGCCAACTCTAAAAGCCTTTAGAAACTTAATATCCAGAAAGACTTCTGACTAAAATTTTTGAATTCTGTTTTCTACTCTTGAGATCCTCTTCTTCTTCTCAAGTTAAAGAAGAGAAAGAATAAGAAAAAGAAACTAAAGACTGGAGTTAATATATTACATTGCTAGCAGTACCTGTAACATCACTATGGAATTCTAAGTGTCCTGTGTTGCCACTGAGACTCTCCTGTGAGACTGCTTCTTCCATCAGCACCCCACTGTTTGTTAAGCTTCCCGTGCCATTGCTCACCGCCAACGCCTCCACACCATTGCTGGCTGTCAAGTCACCTGTGCCATTACTGGTCATCAGACTCCCTGTGCCGCTGCTGATAGTTAGATCTTGTATGCCATTGCTGGACGAGTGTGAGCATACCCCATTACTGACGGCCATCTCTTCAACACCCTCGCTGATTGCTTCATCAACATCAACGCCCCTCCTGGTGTTTGAAATGAGAGAATTGTATCATATTAAAAAGAAATACAAACAGGAACTTAATTGTTCCTTTCAAGATATGAATAAATGATATCAAACATAACAACTGCTTTAAAAATCCCCTTCGCACGACTCACCTTGGGGAATCCAGGAGTATGTTGTCTGTGGATCCTCGTACACTTTCTATGGATGCTCTGGAGAGCCGCCCATTTGGCATCAGCTGACTACTGGTAAGACTTACTACATCTTCATCATATATCTTGTACCTATAACATGAGAATACAGTTGAATACAGTGTGCTTGATATTGGTATCCTTCTCCCCTTAAATATTCCCTTTAATTTCCACCCCTTGTGATTAAATCAAAGCATCTTATCTAACATAAAAGAATAATTTCAATTATTCAATTCAATGCAAAACATATTTTGACATATACAAATACATACACATATCTACACAAATAAAATCAGTAAATCAAGATTTAAACTCTGCTGCTCTTCCCATCTTTCTCACAACTATATATACATGTGCACACTATCTCTTTTTATATAAAATTTCAAATATGAACTTACTTAAAGCCATAGGGATCATCAATTAATGAAGCATCATCATCATCTTCCTCTTCTGGAGACACATAAACAACCTCAAGGGTGATAGTACCTTCCTGTGAAGACAGTAGTCGTACTGCATCTGCATGGCTGACCTATCATAAGGAAAAAAAGTGTCAGAGAAATCTTGAATATTTTCATTTAAAAAATTCTACATATACATACCTTCCTTTATACATGACTTGGGATTTCAAAAATAGTTCCAATCGATTGATATTACCTCCTTTAGTGATAGACCATTAACAGAGATGATTGCGTCTCCGACATACAGCTGTCCTGAGCGACTGGCTGGAGTATCTGGGTGTATGACTGAAATAAGGACTGGCACTCCATGCTCTCTTCCACCCTGCAAAAAATGATTCAGTCATCTAAATGTAGACAGTATATGAAAATAATAACCATACAAATATGTACTCACTTGAAAGAATATTTCTGCACTATGAAGAAAAATATGTATATATAATCTATTTCAAACAAAACTCTAATTTTGTGAGTTTCTTAAATAGTGGACACTGCATTGTCCCAAATGAAACTGTTGGGAAATACCTTAATATGCACCATAATGATGCCATAAATGGTAAAAAGCATTGGGTTTGCCAAATATATTCCTAACTGAAATTATCTTCCAAGAAAATAAAATGGATATATCTTATAATATGACTATCATACCATAATATTTCATTACAGTTTAATTTCTCTCTGGGTAAAAAAATATATGTTCTGCACCTGCTCAACACTTGCATTTGCACCTGTGTCATGCTAGCTTTCAAACTCTCTCCGTCGAAACAAAATACGTAACACCTGTTTCTCTATGCAACACTCCTCTTTTTCCTTCTCTCTTTCTATTTTCCTCTGTCTGTCTCAGTCTCTTTTCCTCTGTGTCTCTGTGTTTCTTTTCCTCTGTGTCTCTGTGTCTCTTTTCCTCTGTGTCTCTGTGTCTCTTTTCCTCTGTGTCTCTTTTCCTCTGTGTCTCTGTGTCTCTTTTCCTCTGTGTCTCTGTGTCTCTTTTCCTCTGTGTCTCTGTGTCTCTTTTCCTCTGTGTCTCTGTGTCTCTTTTCCTCTGTGTCTCTGTGTGTCTGTGTGTCTCTCTGTCTCTCTCTCTCCAATTGTTTTCCTTTCTTTCATTCCCTCGCTTTCCCTCTCCTTCCTCATCTTCCTCTACTTAGTCCCAATTTTTGCACTAACTCTTACATTCCCCTTCACTCCACATTCACTCTCTCATCCTTGTTCTTATTACTCTTTTACCCTCACTTACTGTGATGGACATTCCGAGGCCTTCGTTTAGTGGTTTCTCCAGAACAACAACTCTGCGCTGTTGTTGTTTACTTGGTTGTGCAATGGCATTTCCATTCATAACTCCAGCCCCGTTCTCTTCTCTTGCATCTCCCATTGCCTGGTTCACAGAAATTGTATTATCCATTTGAGTTATATATGTATTACATTTATTCAGCCCTAAGGACCATTAAATAAAATATAATAATTCATATCTCTTCTTTGAGACAAATAAATTTTCTGATCTTTGTCTTAATTATACGTCCTTAACTTAAAAATAATACTACAATAGTGTGCATACCTGTGGGGCATGAGTGTATCTACTGCGACAAGCCCGAACAACAGTTTTGTGCCTGTGTAAATGAATCTCTGCTTCCAACTGGCGCCACAGTTTGTCGTGTTCTTCGCCACGCAGGTCTCTGCCTAGGAGCTGAATCTGCTGAATCCTGAAAAATAACAAGATTTTAACCTAACATATGATCTGAATAGGTAAGATCTATCTTCTTGTCATTCATCTTTAAAACTTTGCATCTGACATATGTATATAAATTTCAAATATTCATATAAATGTACCTTCCAGCAAGTTCTTTGTCGAGATACTTTGCAGCCAATTTTGCTCCATAAAGCTCCCCTTGCAATCCAAGGATATAACGACGTAGAGAATCATTTTCTTTCTTTATTATCGTAAGTTCATGACTTCCAACTTGTGCTTTTAGACTCTCAGCCCGTTGCTCGTGTAGTTCCTTTTCCTAATGCAAAATATAAAACAATTTCATATACATATCCAAGACTATAAACCCTACATTAAGTAAACAAGCATCATATATCATTAGGCTTCTTACACTTATAAAACCTTAAAAAAAGTATGATTTATCAGTTACATTTGCAAATCAAAATTCAAAATGTATACTTAAGACACACATACAAAGCAATCCATGAATATGTAATGTATCACAAGTATAAAGATATCTGGCAAAAAAAATTTAAAGAAGTCTAAAAATCAGATATTTTCTACAGAACTTCTAAAGGCTATCGGAACAAAAACTTTACTTACGAAATCATCCTATTTGCAGCAGGACATAGAAACATACATAATTCAAAGAGAAATTCAAATATCACCTCCATTCTAATGATAATTACAGCTATGCATTTCTGTTCTTTACTGTTCTCTCTCCTATCAAATGAATGGTCATGAAATAACCATTATTAGAAACATCAAACACAATCTACAAGCGCAAGACCTTATATTCAAATAAATCATATTAGTTGTATTACCAGACGTTCTCTAATTTTCTCTGAATCTTGTGTGTGTGCTGAACCCCCAGTGGAATGCAACTGCAATTGACTGGAGTGTAGTTTCATCAAGAGTTCTCGATTCTCTGCCTCTGCAACCTGACGGAACGCACGTCCTTCAGCACATTCCTGGCGTAGGTGGACTAATTCTGCCTGTTGTTTGGAATATATATCACTTTAGTTACATCACCATCCATATTACACTATATCATTCACTTTGCCATCTTAAATCATCTGTTATGTTCTCAATAGTAAAACCTGCAGGACATATTCAAGACTGAGATTATCAAGTCAAGGTAGACTATCTGGCATATACTTCATGGTAAAAATTCAACAATAGATAATTGTTACACAATACAAACTGGTTATATAAAATGATCTTCATAAAATACACTAGGGAGGCTCATCCTCCAGTGATCTCATACAATTAATAACATCAGTTTTACCTTCAATTTATCATATATTTTTGTAAAGTCCATGTATCAATACTATAAATCTTTTCATAACAATGATCTGTTTTTTCCTTGACCCTAAACAAATGGTCGCTAATAAAACTTGTTCATAATTACAAACTTTAATATTCCTCCCATCCACAGGTATTCAAAACTAGTCTTTGACTTAACTCACCCACATGGGATGGTTCCCCCTTAACTGTAGATGGCAGGAGTCCATGTATAAATACCCTGTTTTTCATTAAATTTGTTTGCAAAAAGCTGGTGTTACAAGTTCTTAGTCACCAAAGAATTAACTAGTAACCCTAGTTAATATTACTATCATCACTAAAAACACTGATAATAGTAATAAATACATTTAGGAAGAAAGAGGTTAATTTGTGATCAAAGACGTACTCATTAACAAAGTAAAGGAGTTAAGAAAAAGCAAAAAACGGCAAAAGAACTGAACACAAACCTCAAGCTTAGCATTAGCCTGGAAGACCGTCTGTGCCTTGTGAGTAAGTTGTGCGAAACATGACGAGAGTGACTCCAAGCGAGACCTAGCTTGAGCCAGGAAATCTGTTTCCTCGAGGTCATAGTGATCAACTTCACCTGCAAAATATACTTTAGCTGTATTCATGTATTCATTTGTAGAATATTTGCAATTTACATATATCATGTTAAAAGTATCTCCTATACGATTAATATCCTACATAAAACACTATATTTAATTTTATGTAGTAATTCACTTCTTAATTATACTGATACAAAAATAGTTTTCATTATAGGTATTAAACACTAATAAAAACAAATTTGTGGTAATATACGAAAAGTTCTCAACTCGACTCACATTAAAGAAAGTAAAGGGACAATAAAGCCTAACGAGTCAACTTTCGCTTAATGGGCACCATTAAAAGTATTCAGTAAGCCTTTAGAGAGACAGTAATCGCTTTTTTATTCACCAAATCCCATTAATGGAAGACCATTTCTCTGCCCATCAAGAGGAAGATAGACCGCCACTATCCTCCTTCCACCCTCCTCCGCCCATTACATCCAACAAAATTAACACTAACAGTTAGCCCAAGACGTAAATCAACCTCACACTACCTATTAACAGATCGAGGTCAACGAAGGCCTTGTCAAATTCCTTTTCTAGTATGTCGAGCCATCGGAAAGTGACGTTTGTGGCGGCCATTGTGCCACTTGCCAGCTGGGCAAAGTAAACACAGATAACTTGAGACAGAAAGGATTAAAAGAGGGGTTTTAAATGGTTGGAAAATGAATTTAGGTGAATAATAAGATTTTTTTAGATGGTTGGGCATACTCGCCGAACTCCTATTTGATATTTTTCCCATGATGATAAATTGGCCCTCGCATAAAAATCCTCCAAAAAATAAGAATCCGAACCCTACGCAAAAATACCCACAAAATTATTCTAACCTAAATAATCATATCATAAAGATTTAATTCCTCCTAATACCCTTCCAAATAAATACATAATTTCCACCTCCGACCGAAATTTCCGTCCGCGACCTAACGAGGGTCAGCGTGCTCGCCGCCATGTTCCTTCTCTCGGGCCTTTCCACACCATGTCGGGCTTCAGCGACAAGGTACCTCCGCCTTTTCCCTCCTTCTCCGGGCCGATTTCCCTCCCCGAGCCCCTTTCAGCAAGAAAAATGTCCAGAATAAGAGCCTCTCTCCCTCCCGGTGTCGGAAAGCACCGCCGCGTCGGGTTTTGATAAGAGAAAGGAGAAATATGGAGGGAGAGAGATAATAACGTGGGTTCGGGAGTGAATTCGGAAAGACGTTCGTGTCGCCGCGTGAAAAAGTGGAAATTCGGAAGGTCTGCGAGGGAGGAAGCGGGACACGCGGCTCTCGGGCGAAGCGGCGCCGCGAGGAGGTGGTTTCAAGTGCAAAATGGTGGTGGATAAGTTGCAAATGACAGAATTTTGGCCGAAAAACAAAAGTGTTGGCGGCGAACGCGGACGTTTCCTCCCAACACGTGAGACTTTTGTTTACATGTGATTCCCGGTCGTTAATTTATTTTTTTATTTCTCGAGTGTTTTCTGGATTTTGTGGAATATTTGAGCTAATGGGAACGTCGTCTTTATTTGTCCGGAATTATGTGCTTTCTGATACTTGTTTTAAGATTAATTTGTCGAAATTGTCAAGTTTTAAGATTAAAACGGATTTATTTCCTGATGGTTATTCGTGATTAGTGAATTTGGGAGCAGAAGGCGATCAGGAAATTTTAATTTGGTGCGCAGAAATGCAGTGACGGTGCGTTCGCTGTTAGAATTTGGTGAAATTGATTTTTTTGCACATGTGGAGGTTGGTTTTTAGTGAATGATTCGGAATCGTTTTTTTTTCCGCACCGTCTGTTGTTAAGGCGGTCGTAATCGGCACCAACTGCGCTAGTGCAGCGGCAGTGCATTTTGAGCGTGCATGTTTGGTTTCTGGCAGCGCGTTCTGCAGGTCAGGTTGGGTTGGAAGTGGGATAAGGCCTCAGACGTAGGTAATTGTCAAAGTGACCAGATTATACGTACGCTGCGACTGCTGTAACTCTAGAACGTGGATAAGTGAATACGGCTGCCACGACTCTATCCCGTGGCTGTTCTTTTCTTTTCTTGGTTTGAGTTGTATATTAAAGTCCTCTCAAAATTTGTGACATGTGACAGGCTTGAAGTTAAATATTTAACCGTAAAGTGAAAAAAAAAATTAAACTTTCAAAACTGGGAATTGCCCTCCGACCCTCGTCCAAATGCTCTCTCCTGAGCCAGTGCGGTCGTTTAGAACACTGTATCCTATAGAAAGAACAGTGATGTGCTTGACTAGGGGTACTCTAAGGCTTTGTTTTAAGGCTAAATTTACGTTTATGATAGTCGTATTGAGTTTCTTGGTAAGGCACATGTAAATGTCGTTTCCGGGCAACAAGTGCTAACCTAATGTAACCTAATTGAGTGATATCTTGCTTTGGAGATGCCATCTTGATTCACGGTGCACGAGAGAAATGCCAACTGGGCTTTTCTGCTGTACATTTTTTTTTCTTCTTCTTTTCTGGTGTCGCACATGCCATCCGGATTTGATATCTTGGTTAGGTTATGTCACGCGCAAGCATATGCAAATAGAAACATTTTCTGGGTAACAAGTAGAAACCTAACCTGAGCGAATATCATCTCGTGTCGGGACCACCACCACTTTGTTTGCTGCACCATGCGAAACCTCAATTGGAGGCTTTTTTTTTTTTTTCATACTTGTCCCTTCCTTTTTTAAAAAGGAGCCCTTGGTTTGGTACCAATTCAGCAAATTTAAAATTTATTACAATTGTTTGCTGTGATCAATCATACCATTGATATTTCATTGATTTGTTACTCTCCCTGCTCATGGTCAGAGGTACGTCTTTGGTACACAGTGGGGTTGGCAACTCCCATAACTCTGCGGCTCAAAGAATAAAATCCATCTCAAAATTTACTTTAAAAATTTAGGATGCCAGAACTGGCATGCCCTTTAAGCTTGTCCAAGGAAAGGGTTGATGGGAGCTCTGGCCCTCCAACACTACCTGGAAAGCAATCTTCACCTAGGTGTGCATGGCAAGTTAGAGGTAAAACTTAGGACCACAGAGTGAACTTGGGCTATAAGCAAAGCTCTCTGCGATATTGTTCCCTTGTGGCGTTACCAAATGTGTCTGCGGATTATCCTTGTACCGATGGCCGCCCTTGCATAGCACATTAATACAGTAAAGATTTGTTACTAAAAGTGACACATTTTGGGTATCATATAAACCTCAAAACCCAAGCCTGACTTCCCCAACGTTTTATTTATTCTCTAGACGGGTAATTTATTAGCAATTTTTGTTGACTTAAAAAAAACATGACTAACTTTTAGGCTGCAGCAGTTGTACTTGTATTGCTTATTGCTCTTTCTTCTGCCCTATTTGATAGTGGTATCCATCCTCTGTGCGTTACTTAGGAACCGAAAAATTAACCCATTCAAGGCGGATTATTTTGAAGCCAAATAAAAGTATTACGGGTTGGCCACAAAATCCGGCAGGCGGGCGGACAGACTCCGGGGAAGCTCCGCCTGCTGGCCGCAGTTTGCTGCTGCGTCGGAGCATGAGCCCCGGTACAGTCACGCTGGCGGGACACCCAGCAATGTTTATTTTTTCCGGGTGTCTCATATGGGACACCAGTTGCTAATGGGTTACCCATGTAGAGTGTTGCATGGCATATTTACATCGGTTGATAAGCAGAGAAAGAAACTAATCTCGGATCAATAAATTTAGGCACATTTTAAAAAGAATTGGTCATTCTTTCAGTGCTCTTAACCCACAAATGCCGGTATATTTTGGAACCGGAAGTAATAGTTTCCGGGCGGCTACAAAATTGGCACGCAGGGCTTGGGACGCAGGCCATGGCCTGCTATGGAATCAAAGCACAAGCTCTGATCTAAGGTCACACTGGTGGGATGCCCGGTAATGTTTATTTTTCCAGGTCTCATATATGTGGGACACCCGTCATAAATGAGTTAATTTGACACTTTATTAGTTCACATTTGGTGTACCATTTTAGTAGCCTTTCTTGTCTCCTTACTGATATTATTTCCTGGAAAATTTTTCTGCAAGAAAACTTGGCATAAGCTGTCTTGGCACGTAAAGGCTATTAAGTCAAGATCGCTGTCATTCTTTAACCCATTGATCACGGACGGGATCATATGATGCAAAGCGTAATTGATGGTTGATCCCTTGGAGCAACAGGTGGCCGTGCAGCCTGGGAGCTAAGTGGGCAAGGGGATATCAGCCACCAAGCCAGTGTCTCCATAGTGGCCTCCTAGGGCCCAAGCCTGCCGCCCTGGGCCTGCGCAGGCAATGGGGTGCTTCCCGCCAAAGGAGTTACTTTCAGCACATGCTAAAACTAGGCCCTCCATTCTTTGAGCACATTTATTCATATCAGCATGCGTGTATGTATTTGCTAAGGTTTATATATACATACATGAACGTAAATGTATTCATATATATACATATATAAACATGTATGCGCAAAGGAGGGAAAGCAGCACTGCCACAGCGCACGCACTCTAGCACTGTCCCATACGCTACCCAAGTCCAAAACAATGCTACGGGATTACGTGTCAAATTGCAAAATAGGGTAAAGGTATTCTTAATATTTTCACAATGTGAGCATATGAGCATCTTAGTTTCTCAACTGGAAGATATGTATACAATGCGCAGATATAACTTGTGCATCACACAAGGTGAGGGTATACATTTACATAGACTACATTATGGTACAGGAAGTCAAAGGACACTTCTCAAGGGGAAAAAGATGTACTTGGATGCAAATGATCTGTGCAGGTAGAAAATTCTCAAGTGTAGAAAGTAGATTGTGATGAATGCCATGTGAAGTATCCACAGGGATTGGGATAGGGGTTCTGGGGCCAAGCCTTGGTTTAGGAAGGCTTTAGGTCAATACAGTAGAATCTGAGGATTACCCCAAGATTGACTTAATAGGAACGTAGTCTATCACTTCAGAAACAATTACTAATGAGAAAATACAGCTTTTGAAATAGTATTTATTGAACTATACTTCCTCTTGCTTTCTCTTTTTTCTGTAGAACAAATTGTGGTATGTGCATTTAGAATGTTGGATTGTTTGGTACATTTGATGGTGCAGTCCTGTTGTAAACCTTCATCTTGTGAATATACAGCTTGCATTATTATGCTGAAATCATTTTTTAAAAAGTTGTATAATGGGTATGGAAGACTTAAAATTTCTTTACTTTATAGATGCATGAGATATTGCAGTTGTGAGTTTTAAACTAATATAAACATTGGAGAGACTTTGGACAAATTCATTCATAGCAAGGTGTAAATGCTAATTGGAAGTTGTAATTGTTAGGCACAGCAGAGAAATTGCAGGTTAAGAATGGGAAAGTAAGTGAATACTTTGTAGAATGAAGTCTTATTATAAGTATTTCAGTTCTGTGACATTTGGGCTCCATTGCCAGAATATACTGGTTGAGGCTTGTATTGTTCGTTCAATTAATTGCTTGTTGATTAGTATAAATATGAAGTACCAGAAATGGTTAGTGCACAATCAATGAATCAGAATCATATTAACAAATATCAGAAGTCAGTGAATTAAATTGATGGTACAAGGTAAAAGTTACTTTTCTTACATATTTCCTGTTCAAGTTTATGATGAGAAATTTTTCTAAC